GATACCCAACCCTAATTATATATTTGTATATAAAAGTTGCATTAATTGCATTTATTAAATGCATTTATATGCATTAATTTGTTTAAAAATACATTAAACGGTAATATTGTGAAATATTATTACAATTTAAAATAACTGTTTCCTACTTTATTAAATTTTAAAATGTAATTTATTCCTATGATCAAAGCTAAATTTTCAGCATCATTATTCCAGTATTGAGTGTCACATGATCCTTCAGAAATACTTCTAATATACTGAATTGCTGCTCAAGAAACATTTCTTATTATTAATAATAAATAACGGTTGTGTATGTTAATAATTTTGTGGAAACTGTGGTAAATTACAATGAATAGAATGCACAAAAGAGCATTTATTTGAAATAAAAATCTTTTGTAACATTATAAATGTGTGCACTTTCACATTTGAACAATTTAATGCATCCTTGCTGTGTTAATTTCTTAAAAAAAAAAAAGTAGATAATTACCCCAAACTTTTAAACAGTAGTCTAATTCTTGACTCATTCCTATTATGTATTGCGAATAATCGCATCCAACATAAAAGCACACATATGTGTGTGTACTGTGTATATTTTTAATGTATATATATATATACACACATACAGTATATATTTTGAAAATATTTACATGTATTTGCATGCATATATTTACATTCATATAATTTATATTATATATAAATATATTTCATATTAGAGGTCGACCGATAGTGGATTTTGCCGATACCGATAGCTAGGTTGGACCACACTGGCCAATAGTGCTGTGTTCAAAATATCGATACGACGATGTATCGACACAGAGATTTGACGATACGAGTATCGATACAGCTGGCCCTGTATCAATACTGTGGCACGTTATGAATTACCACCGTTTTGTAAAACAGTAAAGCTATGGCTTTAATTCCTTTAGAAACAATGATTCTACCAGCTCCTTGTTGAGAAAGATAATGTAGCTCTTGAGCGATTAAGCTATTTAGTTGATAAAATTGCGGGGCAGCGCTAAAAAGTTTGTTCCTGAATGTCTAAGTTCGGCCGCAGCGTGATCTGTGTGTGTGACTGCACTTAACACCAAACTGCTTCTGTTTCACACAAATGCTGGCACAGACGTGCATGTTCGGCTAGAGTCGCTTTGAACTCGTGCATCTTCGGGAGCGGAGCGGAAAGTTACAAAAAATGTTGTGCACACCGCCACGCAAACGACGTTGCGCGCACTCAAAGCAAACTTGCTGTCGCTCGAGTATAAATCAGCCATAAATCAGCCTTGAGTGTGTGTGCGTTAGATACAGTGAAGACAGCGCGTTAGTTTAGAACTCTTCTCATTTTTTTTTTTTATTGTAGAGTGTGTTAATTTGTGCAATGATAACCTACCAGCAATGTAAATTATTTTTTAAATATGATTAAATAATGAGTACATTACAATATTAATTTATTAGAACAAGTACATTATTATTTATGGGCTTAAAAACAAGATGCACACAATCAGAATATTGTACCTGGTGGGAAGTGCACAATGTAAACATGAAACATATGCCATTACCTATATTGTACTGTGGTACAGTTATGAAGGCCCTTCATAATGCAGAGGTCAACTGTCTGCTCTGCCAATAGTTAGAAATGGCACTATAGTAAGCAGTGTTTAATAAACAGCTGTTTTTCTAAATTCTTCTGAGGTGAAATTCAGTGCAGTCATGTATCGTGATACGTATCGTATCGTGGCCTCTGTATCGTGACTTTGCTGGTGATACACAGCCCTACTGGCCAATACCGATTAATTAACCGATAGTTTTAAACTTGATACTGAACAAAAACCAAAATAGTGCTTTATTAACAAAAACCGTACTGAACCATACTAGTAGTAGTAGTAAAAAAAATATATAATAGTAAATGTTGAAATTAACACACTCTAACAAGGAACAATACTTACACAGCTTTCATTAATCTTAATGCTACAAATGGACTCTTATTTTAAAGTGTTACCATTTCATTTCAACTGTCATGCTTAAAGGTGCACATCTTTAAATATATACACAAAGGCTATAGCATTAAAATTATATACATATGGATATTGTATGTATACTCTCACACTTTAACTGCTTCTATTCTTGAAATAAAAGTGCAACGCTGAGTCTAGGAGAACTCGCCGGTATCACACACACTCCGGACGCGTCACGTTCAACTCGAGCAGCGGTCTAAAACAGTTTATTTAATCACCAAACTGACTCAAGTTTACTTCAAGAATGAACAATTTAGCATAGATGAGTTTGAAGTTCGGTGTTTAAAAAACGGAGCAAACTAGCACTGTGTAATGACAGCAGACCCTTTTTAACCGCTTTTGGACGCAACCCGGAAAACTATCGGCATGGATTTTTGTCGATAACCGACAGTTCCAGCAATCAACTATCGGTGCCGATTAATCGGCAAAACTGATACATCGGTCGACCTCTATTTAATATTATAAATGTATAATTTTTGCTGAAATATATACATGCATGTGTGTGTTTATATATAGGCTACATAATAAATATACACAGTACACACACATATATTCATAGAGCATCTCTACTAAGATATCCACAGCTTTGATGCAGCACAGGTACGCATTTATACTGACGTTTATACACAAGCAGTTACTGTGATATTCTGAGTGGTTGTTTGCTAGGTGTTTGGTAATGATTGCTGGATGGGTGCTAGGTAGGGCTGGTCGATAAAGATGTCATCTTGAGAAAATGTATGTTGATAACGATGATAAGCTCTCATACAGCAATATACACACACAAATGCGACAGCAGCCAGTCAGAAGCCACAGTGCATGTGGCTAACAAGTCTGCATGTTTTTCATGTCTCTGTGTGAATGAATGGTGCAGTTTTCTCTATACAAACTCAAACGTACAATGCTCATTGTGCTTTCAGCATCTTTGACAGCACTAGTATTTAACCAATGTTTAGTTCCTGACTTTTCAGCAGGAACACCTTTAGAAGGAGATGAAGAAGACTGCCAAAGGACAGACAGATGACAGGAGAGAAAGCAGTGATGAAGAAAAGGCTGGTTTAAGGGGAATGTGATGGTCAGATTAGCGTGTGGCGAATGATTGGCCTTCGCTTTGTGTTCTCTGGCTGTGAACTCAGCTATGCGGTGGGAGTGGATGGGCTGTAGGTTTTGTCTGCCAGAGTTAGGGAGTGTCTCTGACTGTCTCTGCACACTGTTGTTAACTTTGCCTCCCAGAATTCATTAATCTAATTAGTGAAACTGCTAGAGGTTTGAAGTTCTCGTAATAGAACTTGTGTAATAGATCTGGTTTACCATGCAGGGGCGTTTATTAACAGAGATATGCACGTTAGAGATCTTCGTGTGAGAACTTCAATTGCAAAAAAGCTATCGTGTCAAATCATTTGACGCAGAAACCACTATCTGAGAAAACACCTCGGGTTATACTTGTTTGGGGTGTTCAGAAGCAAGATGTTGGTTACCAGACAATTTGGTCTCACACCGAGGTGTTGATCTGTTAGCGAGGTGCGTAGCTGCAGCATTTATTGGCAGTCAGAAACAATATGCTGCTGTCTTAAGATTCAGCATGCATCCATGTCCAAAATTCACTTCATTTGCCTTCAATTTCACTTGTAGGACCCTATGAAATCAATAAAATTTTTTCCCAAATTCTTTTTTTTTTTCCTGGACTTATGCTGCTGGACTGTTTTAATGGTTATTTTTTAGTAATCAGAAAGCATGTCTGTTTAATGGAAGCCATGAAACTTATACAATTGAACAAGATTTTTTTTATTTTATTTTTTTAAGTTTATCAAAAATTACATTTCTAGGACCCTTTGGGAAACATTTTATTTTATTAATTTATTGGATTCCATTTTAAGTTTAACAATCAAAAATGTTTATATTAATTTTGATATGAATATATCAAATAAATTAATCAGTTGAATTCATAAAACCTGTTCATTTATTATTTTTAACAATAATGATGCCCAATGAAATTGTTTGTTTTCAGAAATTCTTTGGTGTTTAAATCTTTCTAGATCTATGATTTAATACAAATTCACTATCAAAAACAGAGGTAATCAAGGCAGTTAAACCTTTAAAGCACTTAATCTTTTTAAAATGCATGTCAAATCAAAATTAAATATTGTATTTATTTATTTTGCTAAACAGAGTGCTGCACAACAAAGGTCTACTAAAACATGGAAGAAAAATGGTGTAATTGATCCTTTAAAAAATAAAGCTTGAAATAAAATGTATGAATATTATTATTACTTAGCACATTCTACTGTACAGTAGTAAAATATTTAAGGTGTTAAATAATGTTAGATGGTGGTAACCTAAATCATCGCCTCAGGAGTTGTTCTCGTTTTTGGTGCATTTCCGATTCTTTTACTTAAGTCTGCTTTCAGTTTATCAGGTATGATGTCAGGATCAAAGATGGGAAGCCACGCTTGCTCTTTTAAAATTGCTTTTTTCCTACCCAGGCGCTCGTTATTCTGTACGATGCATTTGAAATGAAACGGCGTATCCTGCTTTCGCTGTTTGCGCCCTACTTTTGGATCTGCCTTTTCCCCATCTTCCTGACTCATGCTTGGACAATAGACAATCGCTGGCCATCATTCTAGAGGAAGTGATCTCTCGCTTTGACTTCACGGACATCATTTGACTATAAACTGTCCTCTGGCAGTCGTTGCGTTGAGGTCTTAAAACAATGGTAATCTTCATCAGTTATTTATTTAACCAAATGGCACACAATCGCTGGGGAGATGCTTGTCTTTGGTGAGTAGACAGTGGTACATTCCCTTTGTACACTGCTGAGGGTGTGTCCAACAACAGCGTCGCCAGCGTTCATGCCAGCCGCTTCGGACGGGAGATTGCATTGGTTTCTTTCCAAAGTCGTTGCAGTCTGTTTCCATTAGTTGTTTTCCTTTCTTGTGTTTGTCTTTGTGAACATGCTGTTTTGTTGAACTTTGAATTTTTTTTCTTCTTCTTTTCTAGGTCTGCCATAGAGCATCTCTACTAAGATATCCACAGCTTTGATGCAGCACAGGTACGCATTTATACTGACGTTTATACACAAGCAGTTACTGTGATATTCTGAGTGGTTGTTTGCTAGGTGTTTGGTAATGATTGCTGGATGGGTGCTAGGTAGGGCTGGTCGATAAAGATGTCATCTTGAGAAAATGTATGTTGATAACGATGATAAGCTCTCATACAGCAATATACACACATAAATGCGACAGCAGCCAGTCAGAAGCCACAGTGCATGTGGCTAACAAGTCTGCATGTTTTTCATGTCTCTGTGTGAATGAATGGTGCAGTTTTCTCTATACAAACTCAAACGTACAATGCTCATTGTGCTTTCAGCATCTGCTTCTCAATATATGAGGACATGAACACATAAACTTAATCTCCAGAGCTGCTCTGATAGTCACTTCAGCAGCACTTTACAGTTTGATTAAGTTTCAGATAGGCCTACACACCAAAACTTTCTTCACGACTGAAACCGAAAGATCTTTCGAACAAACCATCAAAATAAAAGTTTGGTTTAACTTGAAGAAATTGTGACAGAAATTAGGCTCTGTCTTTACATTTATTTTGAAAGATGAAGCTCGCGATTATGGTAAGGGGCGTTACATTTCCGACGAGTGCTTGCGGTGTTCGGCCAATCACAATGCACTGGGTCAGCTGGCCAATCAGAGCAGACTGCGCTTTTCAGAAGGAGGGACTTTGTAGAAAAGGAAGCGTTTGAGAGAGGCGGGGCATAGAGGACCTACAATAATGTACAGTATTTGAAAAATAATGTGTTTTTTGAACATTAAAGCATGCCAACATATTCTGTTACACCAAGTACACAAAATAATGATCTTTAAAAAAGCATCATATGACCCCTTTAAGACCTATTTAATCTGCATATAAAACATTAGAAATTAGATGTTTAATTTTTATTGTGTTTGACTGTTAAAACAAAAAAATGTTTGTTGGGTGTCTCAATAAATTGGGTTAATTAAAAAATACAGTGGTTAAATGTAAACATTTTTTTGTATTGCGCTTTGTTTTAAAAAAGGTTATAAAAAATGTCAATAATTATCTATACCGAACGATATGAAACATCATATCGTTGATACATTTTTTAGCTATATCGCCTAGCCCTACTATATTCTTTTGAGTCCAGACACTCCTTGTGTCTTAGTTTAGGACATCGTTTCTACATTTTTGTCACTGGATAGCATTTCTTTAATGTAACTAATGAAAACAAGAGTCCAAAGACCTTTAGGAAGTAGGTCACCTATGTTGTGGCCTGGAGATGTTCATGAGAAGGTGAACAAAGATGCAAACCCATTCTGACAGCTGAGCCCTGCAGGCCAATCAGCGTCGGTCTGTTCTTGAGAACGCTACCTGCTCATGTCCTATAGGCTCAAAGGTCTGCAGTGCCTGATTGTTCTCCAGTTCGCTGTTGTTGTTTTTGTAATCCAAAATTGTCATTTTAGATCCATCATGTCAGGCTTAGTCATCCAATTGAACATCAGCATCTCTACAACTTCCATTTGAACTCCAGATTGTTCCCGGCAAATGTCAGTAGTTGTTTACGGAGTTCATTGGAAGATTTCTGTTGGTGTTCCAAAAAGCAATTTGACCTTGAAATGGGACATTCCTCATCCTCTTTTCTTAAATACCAGAGCCTTTTCATCATTGCTTTCACTTATTAAAGAAACTAAATTTCCACTATGTAACCTTAATTCAATTATTATCTTCCTCAGTGTTGAAATAAATCCAAGATGACGGAAGAGGTGATTGTCATCGCCAAGTTTGATTACATGGCCCAGCAGGACCAGGAGCTGGACATTAAGAAGAACGAGCGTCTCTGGCTCCTGGACGACTCCAAGTCCTGGTGGCGAGTACGAAACGCTACCAACAAGACGGGCTTCGTGCCATCTAACTACGTCGAACGAAAGAACAGTGCCAGAAAAGCCTCAATCGTCAAGAACCTCAAAGACACTTTAGGTGAGGCCGCAACTTCTGCTTTACTCAAGAATATCCTTCCAGTTGCTATTCGATTAGATCTCTAGATTTAGAATCTCATGTTGCTTCGAACCCATGTAACCTCTATCAGCAGAATGTCCAGAATTCACCAGTAGTTATTTAGCAGAATGTCCAGGCTACACTCTTTCATTCAACAAAAGTTAAAAAGAATGTTACCAAGCTCCAGAAACTATAAAAACACTCTAAACGTAGTCCATGTGACTTCTGAAGCCCTATAATAGCTTTGTGTGAAAGACAGACACAAATTTAAGTTATTATACATTGAGAATCTCGATTTATGCTCTAATTCTGCAATAACATGCAACAACTTTGGTTGCATATAGAAGGAAGGGTTGAAATGGCATGAGCGTGAGTCAGTAAGGACAACGATCATTTTCACTGTTGTGTGAGCAACGAAACCATTTGCAAACAAACTTCTGCTTTAAAGAGGTCCAGATATATTTGCTTCTAATTGGGTAATGTGCGATTTAGTATGTAGGACATATTCGTCTTGTCATTTCCTGAGGAGTCTTGTTTTTGACCACGATAATGCTGCTGAGATACACAGGAATTTTTGGATGAACTAACCCTTTAAAGTTACTGAGAAACGGTGTTAATTTTGACAGCAAATTTTGATTTAGATTTAGTCATAGTCTTTTGATTAAAATGCCATTTAGTTTTAGGCATATTTTAGTCATCTGAATTGTTTTTAGTTTTAGTCTAGTTTTAGTCGACTAAATCTACAGTAAATTTAGTCTGCTAAAATCTAATGGGTATAGTTACAATGTAATGCATTTATTAAGCATTTCTCCAAAATTTCCAAAGTCATTATATAGTTTTCATATTAAGGTTTTATCATGATAGACACATATTTAACTGCTGTGACACACAACATACTTTTGACTAAAATTCCATTTACTTTTAGTCATCTGAATTGTTTTTAGTTTTAGTCGACTAAATATATTAAGATTTTAGTCGACTAAATCTACAGTAAATTTAGTCGGCTCAAATCTAATGGGTTCAGTTACAGTGCATTTATTAAGCATTTCTCTAAAATTTCCAAACTCATTATATAGGTTTGATATTAAGGTTTTATCATGATAGCCACCGGTTTAACTGTGGTGACACACAACATGCCTTTATGTTAAAATTAAATAAAACCACTTCTCATAAAGAACAAGAACATGGTCTTCTTTTTAATGAAATACCAATGGTTTTATAGGCTAATTATGCATTCTTTATACCAACTTATTTACCACATTCTTCATTCTTTCAAGCAGAAATATTTATTTCTATAAATACATTTTGATTAATATTTAGGGCTACTGAAGTTTTTCAGTCAAGAGCAGTGCATGATTTTCTGTCTTTCTTTTGTTGCTTGATTAACATCAATGACTCGGACAATAGCAACTAAATTAGGCTGCTGTCCCTTTAAAACCGAATGCACAGCTGCAATGGATGCAATGTACTGATACACGTTCTCCCTGCTGTTTACGTTCACTTAAGACGTAATCAACTGTGTTATGTGAATACTCGTCAAAATGGACAAATCGACATCATTTTGTGTAATTCTCCGTTCATGAGACGCGAAAGAGTACTCGCGCGCTGTGAGAGGCGCTTTCTGTGTGTGTATGCTTCAGTGTGTGCGCTCAGAAAACCGGACCGAATTGAGTTCTCTCTTGCGTCGTCAGATTTATCCATATGTCTGCTCTTCTCTTACTCCCACATAAAATTTTATGCGACGTGCAGCAAGTGTATGTTAGCTTATGTCCCGTCGGTTCATATGTACGCATCTAACCTCCGAACCACGCAGCAGATTCGTTCTGAATGAATCTCTTCCCAAATCATCCCTCTCTAACATTTTCATCTCATTTTTATTAGTTGACGAAAATATCAATAGATTTACATCATAGTTTTTGACATTCAAAAAGAGTTTTAGTTCGTTATCGTCTAGCTGTCGTCTGTGAAAAAAATGTCGTTGACAAAAATTATGACGAAAATTATTCGTCAATGAAATTAACACTGCTGAGAAACAGTCCATGTGGCAACTAACCACTATATCGGAGGATACATTTATGCAACAACGATTTTACTAAAAACAGAAGTTTTTCCTTTGCATTCTTGAAAATTTTGCATACAGAGGGCAGTGTTGTCAAAACGATCCCCGTTCATATGGATCCGACTAAAAATGTTGCATTATGCATGCCAAGCCAGTAGCTGGCGATGTTACTTTGTAAAGTGAAACTATGCGCATGATGTCACTTTTCACAAATTCATGTTTTTGTAGTTTACATGGAGATGATAATGGTATTGTTTTCAATTCTTGCACTTTGAAACCTGTTTGCGTTTTCATGCCCCCAAAACGCCATTGTCCTGAAATGAATGACCAAAATGCATCATTTTCCGATTTTAGTTAAAAAATTGTAGAAAGTAGTGTAAAAAAAAAAAAAAAATGGTGTAAACAACCCCTAAATTCGCTAATGCATGTTGCCATACAAATAAATAAATGTACATATGTTTATGTCTATGTTTTTAACATTTTTCATCCTTTTAAAGCGACAGTCTCTGCTAGTAAATATTTGATGTGACGTTTGATGAAACTGCAGGCACACGTCTGTGAGACGCATATTTGCTCTTTAATCTTATCTTCACATCGGTGTACTCCTTAAAGCGTTTCTGTGGTGGTTAGCTGGAGGTTGGGTCTGTGCTGTTGGTACACAGGATCAGGAACGGGTTCTTGTGTTTAGCCGGAGGCGTTCAACGAGGGTTGTGTGCGTGCTGATAGCTATCTCTCTATCGCTGTCTTTGCGGCTGTTTTGAAAATGGCTTGTTCACACAGCCTCTGTTCTTGAGGCTTGCTCTTATATGTCTGTTGTTGTGTTTTAAGTTTATGTGCGTGTGTTTGCATATGTCATCTTCAGCTTTAAGTGCCCTTCCTGCCCTGCCATTTGCAATACACAGATTTTCTGTCATATTGCACCTTCCTGGACCCCATGAAGGACTCCTGGAATAGATTTAGAACTTCATTTTTCCTTAGTAATATGCATTGCTAAAGACTTAATTTAAAGACGATTTTCTCAATATTTACATTTTTTTGCACCCTCATTATGTATTCAGCTTTCAGATGATGTATAAATCTCAATTTAAAAAAATTGACCCTTATGTCTGGTTTTGTGGTCCAGAGTCACATATGACAAATAATCTTAGTTGTTTCGGAACCTGGCGAGTTTCCCCCCTTAGCTCGGTTCGTTTGGGCATATGTGAACACGGCAATCACGCTCGGATCCGCGCCAAAACAATCGGTCCGAGATCACGAGGAGGATTGAACGAGGTGGTCTCGGCTCGATTGAAAACGAACTCTGGGGCAGTTCGGTTGTAGTGAGAAAGCAATCCGATCTAACGGACCAACAAACCAGGCTATATAACAATGTATAATGGGTAATTACGTAAGTTCCGTGAAAAACATTAGCTTTGTTGTTTTACTAATACTTCAAAATGAACCATGTGAATGTCTGTGGGTGAGCACGTCTTCGCCATTCAAAAATAAAAAAGTGCACTTTTTCATTTTATAATGCTATCTTATTGCTCTTCTTCCTAGTAGGTGCATTTTAAAAATGTTTTCCCGATGAATCCTGGACTCCTGCTCAAAATGATAAATTAATATAAGGACAGCTACAAAAAAAAATAACCCAACAATAAGCCCGCAAAGCTGTTGTCGTTCCATCGTGACGGATGACCGCTGTGATAGCGGTGGAATCCTGGAAAATAAACCGTGGAACTTTGACCGGTCAGAGGACAGTTTACTCGCGCGTGACTTGTATTAACAAATTTGGTCCGTTTAGAAACTTTGCCGTGTGAAAGTGAACCGCACCAAGAATAAATAGCAACATTGTAATAATTGTAATCCCTGTTTCGGAACAAAGCAATCGATCTACAGGTGTGAAAGCACCCTTGATCGTATTTGTGGTGTTGATTGCGTTCATCGTGCTCAGCCTTGCGGCACGGTTTATTGTAAGAAAATATGATCAAACTAAATAAGTTTATCAATAACTATAAAAATTCACACACTAGCTAGTCCCTATGAAGTGACTGTTTAATTGAAGCTAAATTTGCAACCCTGTTACCTTTTCAGTTTTTGAATTACATAACTTGTCTATTTAATATTAATTATCTACTTCAACTATTAAGTTTGTGGGTTTTTTTCTGTATTCAATGCTGATATCAGATGCTAATAGCATTTTAGTATGCTGTACATAATCGTCTTGGTATTTGCATGGTACTTTAAAGAATAACATGTCCAATCATGTTACATGTTCTTGTTTTAGTATGAACAGACTGGGTGTTCATGGCTCGTTCTGTGCAAACTTGCTTCTGTCAATGAATATCAATCATTTGCGGCTAAAACAAAAAGTGAAAACAGAATAAAAAGCTGTTTTTTTTGTTTGTTTGTTAAAGCAGACTGATATTGGCAGTCAGGGTTGCCTGCTAGTCACCATAGACGCCATGAGTTCCCTGCGTGTGTATGGGGGGCAGACTAGTCCTGCTAAAGGAGGGCTTGATTGTGATTGGTCCACACTGGTCACATGGTCAGGCAGCCGATCGTTGTGCAGGCGGAGAGCGGTTGACTCGCGGGTTTCACATGGAATAGTTGCACAGCTGCAGAGGGAAGTGCCGAGTCGCTGGGATAGCCCAAAATGGATATGGCTAACCTCTTCAAACACTTCTTCCGTGAGTTTTGCCACTTTTCTCTCCTCCTCATTCTATCGCCAGTCTAGAAAGCCGACAGCGCTGAAAGTTTGAGCTTGGATTGAGTTTGCATTGAGACATTCTTGGTTGTAGGATTAGGGAAGTTTGAAAGGCTTTTCCCTTCTGAGCTGAGTGGGAGTTTGTCAGTAACCCCCACCACACACTCACTCACACACTCACTCACTATTTTTACTCTCTTTTTCTATTTATCCATCATTTGTACACACTTTACGAAA